CATTTGTGTTTCAACAGGACAATGACCCTATGGATTCAGTGAACCTCATCCGGCAATAGTAACTCTGTAACGCTCCTTGAGAGTTCAAGACACCGCCTCAATCGCCTGACATAAATTCAATTGAAAGTTTATGGCAGAAATTGGACCTAGACGTCAGGAAACTTAAAATTTCGTGTATAAAGATGAACTTAAGCGTATACTCCTGCAAGAATGGCACAAAATTCCCAACGGGACTTTTTCAACAACCAGGACTTTGGTTTTCTCTATAAGAAATAAATTAACTGTTATAGACACAAAAGTTATGAATGCAAAGTATTAAATTTTGTTCCCTCATTTTGCTGTATTATCATGACAATACTTTTTTGACATGCAAATTTATGTTTTTGTTGTATATTTTGTATAAAAGGCATATTAAAACGAAAGTTTCATTAGGTGTGTGTCTTTATTGTCTCCTGTGATTATTATGTCCATGTAAAATTGTCAAGCATTTCCTTTGTTAGCTAATATGATCAATTTTAGGCAATTGCCAATATTTCTTTTACCCATTCTATATAATGAAGGCTAAAAAGTAAAAATGTTGCTCTCTTTAACCTCCAGTTTTGTACGAACTTAACCATAAAATTTTGAAGACTCACTGTGTATTACCAGAATAATTCAAGAGTTTTCAGAATACATTTAGGGCATAACGACGAATGAAAGCTACTTGTTTCTACACACTTTGGTTTCCGTCTGCAACAAAACATTATTCTTGACTCCCATTTTAACTAGTCGCTTGAATTTATTTAAAATTATCTTTGTGAATTTTGTGCATAATAATTCTTATTTCAAGTAAACCGTAGTGAATATTTTAATAACTGTAATCTTTGCTTAATCTAGAAACTACGTTCACTGTTAGAAAGGGGTCCGTGATACTTAGCCGATAGGACATTTTGCCGAAACGAACACTTAGCCGATAGGTCATTTAACCGACACGGACAGTTACCCGACAAGACATTTAGCCGACAAGGACACTTAGCCGACAGGACATTTAGCCGACACGGATAGTTATCCGACACGACATTTAGATGACAAGCACACTTAGCCGACAGTACATTTGGCCGACACAGAGAGTTAGCCATCAGGACATTTAGCTACGGGACATTTAACTGTCAAGACACTTAGTCAACAGGATAGTAAGCCGACAGTGACATTTAACTGACACGTACCCAACAATTATTTAAACTTACAATCAATTAAAAAATTTCTCGACTTCTCCATGAGTTCAATATTTAAGTTATTTTTTCACCTATCAGTAAAATCCATTTTTCGATTCTTAAAGATCTCATATGTGCTTTAATTATTGTATTAATTTAGCGTTGTTTGATGTGTATCGTGCTGTTTGGTGTATATTGGCCAAATTGAGAAAGCGCTGAAATTTCTCGTCAGGGAATATGAATTAAATTTCGAAAGGAAAAAAGAATTTTTTTAGGTAAGTACAGCGGCTACTTAATTCCATTTTAATATGGGATCTTCAAAAATTATCCGTAAAGCTTCTTCATTTAATCAACTGGGTTCTTTTGAACACTTTCACATCATTAATAATTTTCTTGGTTACTTAATGATATTAATTTTCCAATCTCTCTCTTTCAAATTTCTAATACCTTTACGTTTCATTACTATTTTACTCAATACACCATGCTACATTTTTTCCCTTACAAAATCGTTTCCCTCCTCCCACTAATGAAATTTCCTTTCTCTGTCATGAAAAATCTGAATAATGCTATAAAAATTATTGCTATTTTTGAATTATACTTTTTATAGAAACATATGGTGGTGAAGGGTTAGTTTAGAAAATATATTTTATTTTGTTATTAAAAAGAACTAAAAAAGTGAATTTTTAAGACAAGCAAAGACATAAATTATTTGTGACCTCTATAATGAGCTGTTCATGCCAACATTCTTTTAAAATAATAAGTTCTGTAACATAAGATAAAAGTTCTGTAACTTTTTGCTGACCACGCGTACCCGCTCCGATTTCGTGGCTGGGAACTAGTTGATAGTTGACAATCTGATTGTCCTTAGGGGATTAGATCAATATAGCTTTTTAAAGCCTGGGTTAATATACATAAGCAATTAGCATTTAAGCATTGACCATGCCTCTCTCTTAAAATACTTACTTAGGTTAATGTTTATAGCACTAACTGGTACATAATTAGTACCAGTTTAGTTGTTTAATTTAGAAGTAAAATATTCTTTAAGGTTTTGTTTTATTCATAACTGAATACATTTCTGCAAAAAGTACATTTTCACTCTTCATATATCGAAAACTTTGTTGATATGAAACTCCGGACGTGGGAAAATCTACAAAGAGAAATCGGATGAAGCTGCAGGAGAGGCCACAAACAAGCAGGGCGGAGCAAAGCCAGACATCCTGAAAAATTCACCGTAATGTAGTGCCATCTATCGATGATAGATTTAACTAGATCAGTCATGTAACTAAATAATATTATGTACTCTCTTTTGAAAGTCGCGATGTGTAATTTTCAATATGTCTATTATATTGAAAATTACACATTATTAATGTTTTTCTTATAAAATGTAATTTTAATTAATGTTATTATTTCTTGTAAAATGTAACTGTTCTCAATATCTGTTAAAAATGTATAAATTTGCATTTCATTTTTCAAAATTTTATTTTTTTTCCTCTTTCATTCCTTCTCTTTCTCGTTTTTGGTTTAGCTACATGGTAATGGGAAATTTTTGGTGCCCATTTTCCTGAATGCATTTATAAAGTTCTAGCCTAAAAGGGCAATTTTCATTGGAAGAGACTGGTTATATATTAAGTAACATGGTCACTCTATTTTTTGTTAGGCCCAGCAGCGGCCGAGCGGTAAAGTCACTGAACACTGGCAGTTCGGTTCGAATTTCGAATCCCGCGAACGGACAGGCTGCATGGTTGTTTTCGAAGTTTTCCCCATGTGTAACATGTATACGAGCCGTTTTTCCTTAAAAAGTCCTCCACGAAGGTGTCCTTCCCTTAGGCAGATAGCCCTCTGGCTTTGCCGTAATTACATAAACCAAACCTACTTCTGTTAGGCAGCCGCAGGCCACGAGGTACGAATTCCCGTGCGGAAGCCCTATCCCAGATTAATAAATATGCGATGCCTAACGTGTAAATAGCATTCTGAGGGTGTAAATAGCATTTTAGAAAAAAAAATTAGTTCCAGTGTGGCGAGGAGCAGGGCGAATCACTGTATTTTCTGACAGGAAAGGAAATTTCATTAGTGGGAAGAGCGAAACGACTATATACGAGAATGAATGTAGTGTGATGTGTTGAGCAAAGTAGCAATAAAATGTCAAAGTATTAGAAATCTGAAAGCATTGGGAAAAGCGAAACTCATTGTCGGCTTAATGTCCTGTCGGCTAATTGTCCGTGTCGGCAAAATGTCCTGTCTGCTAAATGCCCATGTCGGCTAAGTGTCTTGTCTGCTAAGTGTCCGCGTCGGTTAAATGTCCTGTCGGCTAAGTGTCCATGTTGTCTAAATGTCCCTATCGGCTAAATGTCTTGTCGGCTAACTGGTGTCGGTTAAGTGTCCCGTCGGTTAAGTGTCCGCAACCGGTTAAAAGTCATATAAAAGTTTAATTTGAGTTTCATGAAACTGTTTTAATACAGAATTAATATAGTTATCATAGACTTTTGGCTTTCTTCCATAAACTTTGCAAATTGAACTACCCGTCTAAAATCAATATTTAAGGAAAAAAAAATATGTAGCCACATTTTCCGAACACATTGGGCATTGAACTCAGTTGTCTTTTATGATATTTGTTTGATTTTAAGTAAATTGTATTTCTGTCTTTGTACTAAAGAGCAGCGCTTTAAGCTTGCGCTTTGGAGCTTCAAAGTTGCTGGGAATTACTGGAGTTCAACCGTTTGCAGAAGTTCTTCGAGATTCGCTTCTGAAGCCAGAGGTTCTTCGCCGTTCCTCAGCCAACTTAATGTTTGAAGAACAATACAGAGATTCGGTCAACATTATGTTTCTGAAGTTTCTTAAGTTCTACACTGAGATAATCGCAAGTCACTATTATATAACGGAACATACAACATTTAATAAATGATATACCTTCAATCTTTATTCTGAAGATAGACGAAAAGTTGGTTTGATTTAATAAAAGAAAACGTCGAAATAATAAAAATATTTGATCAGCCTCTTGTTATCCTGAGACTACGTATGACAAAGCAAATCATCCACTTAGTTTTTTGATTAAATAATGTAAATATGATTACCATCCCTTTGATAATATAGCACGGCAAAATGCTATAGGCTGCAAGATATTTTTAAATTAGTTTTCGAAATTTTAATGTTTTAATTCAAGTTTTTTTCGAAAATCATGTAAAATTTGTAAGATAAAAAATTTTATATAATGAAACATGTAAAAACATATTTAAATGATTTTTTTTGACACAGAATGCAATACAATTTCATTTATTTTGATTTCTATTCATAATTATTTGATCTTCTTTATAGCAGGCAACTGCCAAATAAGCTTTGCCAGTTCCTCCGTAATTACGTGTACAGTAAAGTGTGGAAATAAAAAACGCATTTTTGCAGTTATCCGAATTTCTAATACATCGAGATCTAACCTAAATATAGTTGAATTGGATATCACGATTTCCCTCGAAAATACAGGAAAAAGTCTCGTTTTATATTCTGGTGTCACTTTGATGCCAGGACATTTGTAATTTAATGCATTTGTCGGGAATGGCACGGTACCTATCAGTCATTTAGCCGCTTCATCGAGAATCCTGGCTAAAGTGTGCTACAGGGTCGACCGTTTTTACACTCGCAAGAACGGAAAAATTTCGTCCCATTTTCGATGAAGTATCCGTGCCGATACCGCGAATCCGAGGGTCTTTCATCCTTTACACGAGGAATGTTTTGTATGCCGCAATCTTCTGAAACGTTTCAGGATTCACATTTTATTATGAATCTATTTAAACAACTTATTTTTTATATACTTACGCATAAAAGAAAGGCTCGATACTTATCACTTTAATTCCCCAGATAGCCATTTCCATGCGCAGACCGGAGGTAAAAGATACTGCAGCACTTTTACTCATACAGTAACCCACATATCCAGGACTGCATACTTGACCTAGAACAGAATGTACATTACTTTATACAAATATGGAGCTACAAATAAATTTCATAAGATTTTATAAGGATAGAATAAAGGACGCTTTTTCCCCACACGAATTGTAAAACTGATTTAAAATAGAAGAGTCAAAAGAGATTTTTTTCGTGGCGACTGTGCGTACCTACGTATGTATGTATCTTGCATAACTTAAAAACGAGTAGCCCCAGAAAGTTGAAATTTTGCATATAGGACTGCTATAACATGTAGATATGCACCTCCTATTTCGGTTGCAATCGGCCGCACCAAAAGTATATAAATATATGTATACATATATATCCACTGTGTTACTCGGTTCAGTGAGCTCAGTTTCTTTATTCTTATGTGTTTGTATATTGTGCAATTCGTTGCTTTAAAATTGATTGAATTATGTTGTTCTTATCTTCCGGTTAAGGTTTTTTTTCTAGTTAAATCATGCTATAGTTGTAAATTATCAACAATTTAAAAGTTGTTTAAGTGCGGCTAAGCCTAATTTTTTGATGCAGATAGTTACAGAAACTATAGTTTTTGCAATCTAGAGAAACTGACAAACAAATAACGTCGCCTTCTTATCCATTCTGGAAAATCATTTAAGTTATTAAAATTATGTCCAGCAAGCGTTTTCAGTTTCGTTTTTTGCGGAGTCAGACCAAAGCACCAAAAAATCTGCCTTCTTACACGCTGGCCGAATTGCTTGTTTTTGCGTAGAAAATGTAATTTTAGTTATAATCTTTTTTAAAATTGTTTTAACTATATTTGGGGTTTTATGTTTTGTATATCTTTCAATTATTAATATAGATTTTGCCTTGTCGCGAAGTGAGAACTGAATTAATTGAATGATAAATATTGAAATTCGAGGAAATAAATTTAAATGACAGGTAGGAAAAAATGCGTATGATTTAATATTCCGTACAAGGAAGTCATGTGGTGTACACATCAGATTTTTTATGGAGATAAATATATAGTAATATAAAGCAGCTACTTCTGATCTACGAAATTAGATTGAGGCAGGAGCTTTCAATCGAATTTCCTGCTGCTTGTGTTTAGTCCAGAATAACATCGAATTTATCATGAAATAGAAGGACTTCTACACTTTTGGTTATTGAAGATAGCCTTTTTTTTAAAGCAAAGAACAATGTAATTCAGATGAATGAATTCAGAACCACCGCACACGTATGGTACTCAATAAAATGATTTTATTATAGTTAAATGTTGTCTCCCTTTATAACTGTTTCTCTTGGTTAGCCTATAAGTTCTGAAATTTTATTCAATTTCTATTGCAAATTTTCTTCAACTATTCTTGGAAGGTACTTTTTATGGATAAATAGTCATTTTTGGAAATTTAGACCGTCTTGTAGATGGAAATCTCAACTTTTGAATTTCAGAAAACATGTTCTCAAATTTACTGTTTCGAATAAATGTTCTTAAAAAAGAAAGAAAAACTTAAATAATCCGATTATTCCTTCATACTAAGTATGCAAACGATTAACGTTTCAAGGTCGATGAGTACTAACTTCGGTTACAGCGCGTTTCTACAGCTCAATCAGCATCGTATCGTCATAAAGATGGTAAATAATTCCGGATGGTTTCCCTTTTCTCGTTGTCAGTGCTGCAGTTACCTGCAGACATAAACAATAACGCCGTTACCACGTTGTCGGAAAATTTATACACAATTTCATTACTTTGAAAGTGGTCTCATAGTAGGGATGCGTGAAATGGGCTGATCATGTCGAACAATAGATGTCGTCTGGATGTGCCTGTTGAATGGGAAAACACATGCAGACAAATCTCTGAATGAGACTGGCGGTGAATAATAAAACTATCTCTACTAACGATGCAAGATACCTACATATGTATGTGGCATTTCAGTTTATTAAAATGCAAGTATATTTTTGCACATTGTATCTGAATAATACAATGAATCATTTTAATGGCAAACAACGTCATGAATTAGATTATTTTTCTTCAAATATAAATCTTATATGATATGCAGGGAATATTTTCAGCTATCTTCTGCACCTTTTGCAAACGCCAACAAAGTAGCTCATCCTATTAACTAGAATTTCGCCAAAGATGCTCTTTCTGTAGCTAAATAAAATTTTTCACTTTTTCATCTGGGTGTATCATTTTTATATATACCTGTCTCTCAGGAATACTCTGCGAATACAATGACAGAAATTCAAGTTCAGCTGGTACATTATCCAGGATATCCAATATATCATTTCATTCAAGATAATGTTTGAAAGGAATGATTACATGAATGTGTTCATTTCTATATTCCAGGATGATATACACTCATTCTAAAGAGCTGTAAAATGCCATTAAATAATTACAAGTAGCGTCAGCAATAACTGCATCACTTAGGAAGGAAATTCCAAAATTTTTGTCTGCTATAATATCTTGCACCATTACGTATTCCATTATATTATTACCATTACGTATCTGGCACCATTACGCGAAAATTTAATTAAATGCGCTCTCTGAGCGCTCCAGATGCAAATACAGAGTTTAATGCAGCTACCTGAATGAAATTAACATCATTTGGTAAAACGAATACGCTCAGTCACTACACGATTCCTTTACTAAAATTAACACAATGATTTCACGAAAAAAAAAGACAAATTTTTGTCACCACCTCAGTTGCTGCAAAAGACAAATCTATGAAAAACTATGAGGCTAGGCCTATGAAACATTGCTCAGCATTTAGACTTCATTCCGATTTTAGTTTCCTGTGAATTTTCGTCTGTTTGGGATTTCCTTGGCTGTAATGTAAATATGAGTTCATTTCTTTCTTCAAGTCATTTATGAAAGTATCCTTGCTCCGTTAAATAATTCTTGAGTCCTTTGCGATAATAACGTAAGCAACAAACCAAGTCAGTGTTACGACAAAGTGTTTGTACTGTACGTGTAATATATTTTCATGTGTTCCAATGGCCTAACAAAAGTATAATTTTTTGTAGTTCAAGACGGAGTTTCTTCCGATGAATTTTATGACCAGTCTTCAGTTGCCACTCATCTCGAAACTTTTCCTACACTAAACTTTCACTCAAGTTGCATCGCAACAGTACTGCAGATTGCTATTTCACTCGAAGTACTCTGTAATCAACAAAGAATAATGGCATGTTTACAAGTAAGTTTTTGAATTCATTGCTGAAGTTCCTATCAAATAAGAAAAAAGAGAATCTGAAGTTAGATCAACGATGATAGCAAGATTTCTAAAAGTTTATATTGCTGGATCATATCGCCGGCCAGCCGGTATAGTTGTTAGTAATGTTGATTGCCATACCAATGGCTAGGTTCGAATCTTGGAGGCGGCTTGGGTGTTTGTAAATATATAATGATTATGCGGTAATAAGGCACTCAAAATACTATATGGCGAGCTAACAGTCTTCTTAAGAGACTGGTGATAGGAGAAGAGGGATGGGAGGCCCTTCGATCTTTTACCCCCCGGGATGTTCTGTCTCAAAAGTGAGACGGAAACTTAACAATTAGCTGTATTCGATAATATTTCAATCACCTGTGGTACTGCAGAGGTGCCTGCTTCTAACTATACCTGTTGTATCATACCAAATTTTGATTATTTATGTGCAATGGATGAAACAAATATTTATATTAAAAATGCCGAATCATTATTTAATGAATCATTCTATTGTTCCTCGTTTTCTTACTGTTGCAAATGTTCGTAATTTTTTTAAGGAACTATTACTCTTTTCATGCAATTTTTATATTAAGCATAGCGAATGCTTCAGACTGTGTCTGTTATATGGGTCTAGTTTGAGCAAAAAAAATATTTGAATAATAAATATGCCTTAAAAATCGGTTGTAACTTCTGAACGCAAGACTGTCTTCTTTTCCTCAAACACAAAACTTGGACAGAGGCTGAAGTTTTTGAAGAAAGAAAATCCCACACCCACACACCAAAGGCTTATTTTCCAGAAAATGCAACGAATTTATTAGAGTGGGTTAAATTTTTGTTCCTGAAAGGGCTAAATAGCATCACCCTGGTCGCGCACGTGCCACGCTAATGATTTCCTACTGCAGAGCTCATATTCACTTTTGAACGATATAACCAAACGCGGGGGACCACTACTTTTACTTGCATAGATATGTCTTACGTTTACTGTAACGTTGTTATCGAATCATATTCAGAGAACATTTCTGTTTGACGGCTAAAATTATATCGATAGCGCATCGCGATCAGAAAGTCTTGGACTCTTAACAGTTTATTTTTAAAGCTACACTTTTGCATTAAAATTTCCTTCCATATCCTGATACTGTTTCTAGAATTCTCACTATTCTCCTCTGTGATGCTTTAATAGTTTTATCATTTTTCACTGGTATGCTGAAAAAAAAGAATGGTTTTTTGTATTTATCATCCCTTGAAATAGTACATTACATGCATAATCAGGGTTTGGTACTTTTTAGCTTCAGAGTGGAATTGTAATTCCACTTGGAGCCCAAAATAATACGAGGTCCGATAATTTTTTTTATTTAAATTATAATATATTTATTATTTTATATATAATTTTTTATTTAAATTATATTTTAATATTTGATAAATTATAAATTAACTCGAAAATAATATATTTATAATTAATTTAATAATTTATCAAATTTCTATTTGACTCTTTACATTTCTTTTAATTTTAATTTAATTACTTAATGATTTTAATTTTTTGGTAATTTTATTTTTTATTGTTTCATTCCTTCCAGTCTTTTATAGGGCTCCGAGACTTCTAATTTTAAAAATTAAGCCCTGCTTTCAGCTGCTCGACGGTGAATTACTTGTCTGTTTTCCAATTTGAGATTTCCTTGAAGAAAGTTCATTAGGCATTTCTGCTACACACTTACTTGGTAATCAAAACTTAGTCATTTATGTCTTGTACATATTCTTCGGCATCGTTTCGTTTGCATCTACGTATGCATGTAAATTGCCTTTCATTTTCTATGAGTAGTTTCCTTTCCAGTAAATTTATTTAAATGTTATTAAATCTTAAATTTATTTCTGCAACATGTTTTAAACAGTTGCAATTCTCAGTGAATTTGAATGTGATATTTACTTTTCACTGGCTCCTAGTACTGCTCTTGAATTTCTGGGAATACCTCCCTTCGATGCGTCATGTGTAGTAAATTGTCTTATTTTCTTTCCTCTTCCTGCAGTTTTTTTCTTTAGAGGAATACACTTGCTTGGATTTGAAAGTTAACAGCTTTTAGGACATTATTACCGGAGACAACGATTTGTTGCAGCAAATGCTTGATGCAGTTCTTCGTTACCTCATAGGCCGTTTAGCGTTGTTATAAATCATATATAAAAGACTATGACCGTAATAAACTTTGGGTTGCATACGCGTCATATATATAATTATAGTTAAATATGATACATTTTACACCTGAAACATTTATGCTGTATTACATTACCTTATAATATTGCTTAGGATAATAAAAGCTTACCAGCAAAGCTTGTTACATTAACAACGCGTCCTCTCGATTTCTTTAAGAAAGGCAAAAAAGTTTTCGTAACTCGTACAACTCCGAATGTGTTGACGGCAAAAATTTTCTCCAACTCTGAAATGGGCGTCCAGTCAATTAATGCTGCCTGGCCCACACCTGCATTATTCACGATGGCCCATAACACTGAAAAAGCATATATACATTTATAAAAATTTACTTACATTAAAGTACTGCAAGAAAATAGCTGTAAAATCCTTACATCAAGTTGTTATTGTTATTTAACAATGCAAATATTATGCACAATTATTCTGTGAAGTTTTAAAATTGGAATTTTTGAATAGTTCTGTGAACCTCTTAAATAATAACTGTCATATATATTTGCATATAATTCGATGTTTTAGAGACACGATTTTATATTGTTTAACATATAATTTGAATACGAAAAACTCGCATCCCAAAGTGTCTACATGACCATACCCACACCGACAACATGTAATTATTACCAAACTATTATCTGTTTATCACAACAACACCTCTTGACAGAATGACAGATTTTACTTTTAGTTTGTTTGGCAATACAAAATTTATAGTCCTGTTATTTAAAAAAAGACAAAGCTTATTTATAATAAAGGTACTACTTTCTGAAATAATATTCTGTTTTTATAAAATTACATTGGCAGCTGCAATGAAAATGACAGTTACCCAGATAATTTAAGTATTAATATTTTAAAAAATGAAAAAAATAAATGCCGTTGAATGCACATATAAGCCTAGATTTGACTTTATGCTCGTTTATTAAGGTTTATAGGTCGACTTATATGCAATTTTATATAGTAATGGCAATGATTACAACATGTTTCTTTTAAAATATCATATCCTTACATCCATAAATGTAAACTGAAATTTTTGTTTTATTACATGCAACCGACTTCTGCTACATATGAAAAGTAGCAAAGAAATTGACTGAAAAATAAAGTTACCAATTTTTTAATAATATTATAACTAGTGATGAAAAATTATGTTGTTCATATAATTGAGAAGAGAACTGATAGCTACCTGCTTGTGTAAAAGAAAAATAATTTCGTACCGTTTCTTAAAAGAGGCTTCAGGATTTGCTGATGAATTTTTCGTTTGACAGGAAATAAAGCATTCTGTCCCCTTGATACCCATGCTGCGTAGTGGTTAGTGCATTTATCCGATAATATGAATATTTGCAGTTTGATTTAAGGTGAGTATTTAAATGATTTTTAACATTAAAAAAAGTGCTTAACAATCTGTTTTTACAAATCAAGTATAATATGTTTTCTTTAATTTCAGATTCTTCAGTAAAAGGCTGTTTTCTTAATGAGAAATCATCTGAATATTAATTTAAATTTCACAGTTATTTTCATTACTTACCGTATTTATACTTTAAATTCCATTCAGAGTAAATTTTTCAGCAATCTCATTAAGCTTTACAGTCTTTTCTTAGACAACAAAGAAATCACCGAATTGGAAAATTGGGCTATCTATCTTTAACACCCAAGTTTTCTAATTGTATTAAATTTCAAAAACAACTTTTACCAACAAATGAATGATATTCCAGAGGGTAATAACGATTCTACTGTCCTCTGTAATCTCTTCTTCTTTATTAAAGAATATAACTCAATCAACGAATTTCCTAATCCCAAACCTTTTTAAATATACCTACAGGTATATTGACAACATTATTACCATTAACTATAAGAATGAAACTGAGAAAAATATATTTATCCTTATCGCTTTAAATTAAATAAAACTGATATTAAAGATTATTTAAACTTCCAAATCTATAACCTAAACAAAAAAAAATGACAAAAGGAAACTTTTTAGCTTCAAAACCATTAAACTAATTAATTAGTCAATAGTTTTGAAACTGAAACACCTTATAAATTTCTCAACTAACTGCGACCTAAGCTTCAACATTTCCAAAAAATTCTTTGCGAATAACATAACAAATCAAGCAGCCAGAATTAGAAAAATCTATAGAAACAGTAAAGAATTTTTAAAGGAAATTTTAGTTAAAATTTTCAAAAATAAGGAAATACCGTATGTTTTTGTAAAATAGTAACTCGCTAAATTACACTTGTCAGTCTAATCTTACATAGTTATTGATTTGTAGCTAAGAATTCACCTAAAGAAATTAGGAGATATAGACTAGATTTTTTTTATTCACAGTTAAAGAAAAAAAAACTTTTTCAAACATTTTACAATTACGTAATTATTCTGAATAAACTTTTTATCACTTTCTTACTATCCTTTTACTAACAGAGGGGATAATTTCAATTTCAAAGTTCTATGAATGCCTTCGTAGATTAAATCTTTCTACTATAGTTTCTCATAATAGTAATTTCGACTTTCGTTGTCTTTATTTCTCTTTCTGGTAAGAAAACTAACTGCAACGGCATTTATCAAACTATAGTTTGTAACAGCAAACCTAATTTATTCTACATACTTTGATAAAGCTAATATAAGGTAACTTTTTCACTCTCCGTACTTCAAGCAGCAGTCTTATATTATTTATTAATTTTATGATTTGTTATATTAGAAACTGAATAATTTTAATTTCTTAATTTTAATATTTAGCTAGATCTGTCTACAGTAAGTTGCCACTTATCGCAGATAGGCACATATTGTGGCTGAATTGTTTTTACAGATTCGAACTTTTTCCTTTTTACCATTTTTAAAAAATACGTTTGATTAAAATTTAAAATTTTATGGAACTAATTAATTTGTACAATATGTTCTCCACACCAATCACATAATTTTATTTCACTAACGACCTCAGAGCGAATTTTGTATTTTCATATACCCTATATTTTAATGACTATATTTTGCTATCAGATCTAGAAAGTATTTTCAACCTTATACCTATTACTTCCCATCACTAGTTTTTAGCTAAACACATTTTATCAAAGTGTTAATTTTTTCTTTGTGCCACCTTTTTTTTCCCTTTTAGCTCCGGCTACACTCAGCGGTCATTTTAAATTTTGATTGTATCCTTTTTATCTAGTGACTGTATCTTTAGCCAAAGCTATTTTTTTGTTTCTGGCCTGTTGGAATTGGGGCAATTAAAGAACGATTTAATTTGTTTTCCTGATTAAAATTTTCTTACGGATTAATAATTTTTTTAATTGTGTATTGGTCAGTTTACAAACAGGTTACTTTTTTTTTGCGTTTTTCGAGACGCCAGTCCCCTTACGAAGATATCACGGAAATGTAAAATAATTTAATTTTTTAGTTAAAAAACTTTTAATTTTTCAAATTTATGGAGAGTTAATGAAGTCCTTAAAACTCAGATATTAAATATTATTTATAAAGGTGCTAGGAGAAGATCTTACGCATATTTATATATCTCAAAGTGTTTATAACATACCATCATTTCCAAGGTTCTTCATGACGAAATCTTTTGCAGAGTCGACACTTCTATCGTCAGTTACATCCAGTGGAACCACAAGAAGCTTAAAAGAACAATTGTTAGCTAACATCTTAGCGCCCTCACCATTTGGGAAAAGACAACCCGCAAAAACTCGGTATCCTAGTCTATTCATCCGCATTGCCAGAGCATGTCCGAATCCCGAATCACAACCTAAAGAGAGTATATGAGTTATGATATCGACGATTCAAGTGGGTTTTAAAATCAGTTTTAAAATATGCACTTCAGCATCAAGATGAAGTTTATGTAAACCGCTGCTGACATATTTTGATGGAAATTCTTGAAATCAAAACATACATCGCCTTTCTTGCCATCTCATCTTCAAGAGCAAAATGCAATGGGATTTTATTGTATTTAATATCTTTAGTATTATGTATTACTTTGAAACTGGGAAAGAGGATGAGTGTTTCGGTACTTATTTTTGTAAGCATTGCCCAAAGAATGTTTGAAGTACTGAACTGCTGTTCTGATTTGTACAAATTTATTCAAGTCAAAATTTATTTTATAATATAGTATTAAATATATTTTTCAAATTAATGTATATTACGCTGAAAGTGGAAAACAGGATGAGTATCCGAGTACCCACTTTTATGCATAGTCGCCTAAAGAATGTTTGGAGAATCAAATTGTTACTCTGTGTTGGGCAAGTAATAACTTCTGCATTGTCTTGTGTATTCCTCATATATATTCAGAATTCATATTAGTCTTAGGCGAAATTAATTGTATCGTCATCGGCAGCATTTTAAGAACTGCAGGAAAGAGATTTTGAAAAAAGTTATTGCTTTCTAGAATATTTAATATCTGATTTTGTTTTTGATGGTATAATATACTTTTAATATTCGCTTATTTACGTAAAATAGAAATATTTTGCATATTATTGATACGATTATTTCTTATCTTAGTTTGAGACAAATTCAAAAATCTCAGTTAATAATATATTTTCCCAGAAAACTATGATATGCACTATGATACGGGTAGTCAGGCATTTATTGATTATTCTTTGTTTTTAAAGATACAGTGCAAAGCTCGATTGTAAATGTTGAAGAAATGCGCAGTTCCTTTGTTTGTCATATAAACGCAGTTAAAGGGCGATATGCAAATACTAAAGTAGAATTAAAGTTTCATATCTCATTAAAGCATAATCCAAGCGGCGAACATGGAAAACACAATTCGAATGTAGAAACCTATATGTTATTAGCTGTAAGAAAGAGGAAATATCGCGCGGTGATAGAAACATTATCAACTCTTCATAGCCGAGCGCAAAAAGATTTATATAGGAGAGAAGTTTCGTAAGATCAAGTCTATTTTAAGTTGGTGTGGATAACGTCAGATGGACAGCTTCCTTGCTACCATTTTCAATGGCGATTCTAGTCTCCTCTTCGTTGAGCTGTGCCATCCGGAGTAAGACAATTCTTTTCAACAAAATTCCAATAATAACCTCCAGGGGTCCCCAACCTTTATGTTTCTAAGAACATGTTACTAGAATATCTGTTGGACGGCGGACACCATTTATTTTTCAAGGTGAATTTGTAGATGGATAGAGTTAATAATACATGCACATAAAAAAGAGATCGGTCGCATTTCACTCGTGCTGGTATCTGTATCGGAAGCAATTTCTATTTCATTAAAAATGAGAAAACGTTCACATAGAATTTTATTGAAAACTAAAACATTTTTAGTGTGATCGCACAGCTGAGGGCACACGTTAAACGATCGGCTGGCCTCTTGGTGCTCGCGGGCATAAAGTGGGAAACCCCTAGACTAGACAATGGTTTTGTGAACATGTCTGCATATATCATTCTGCTGTTGCGGTGAAGTAATTCAATGATTCTTTGCTTTCGTAAACACGCAACGATATTTTACATCGATATGTTTAATGTAACTGCTCTTTTTTCTTTTCTGAAAAGATTTATGTAGAACATGTTGTTCTAGAAAAGTAATGTTAGCCTCCTCTTGAATGAAACCTTAGTCTTCTATTAATTGTCTCATCCGCTGCAGCTTCTCCAGAGTTATAGCTAGAGCAATGTATTCAGCTTCTGTCGAAGATAAGGCATTACAATTTTGTTTCTTGCTTTTCCACGATACTGTACAGTTTCCTATTTGAAATATACATCCCGATGTGGATTTTCTGTCAGAGGTGTCTCCTACTCATTAAGTGTCGCTGTAAGTCTTGACGATTAGTTCAGCATTTGATTTTAAATGTAATTTGTAATTCAATGTAGTTCTTAGATGTAGTATAACTTTAATTATGCAATCCCAGTCCGATGTTGATAGATTTTATATTTTTCTATTAAGTATTCGAATAGAACTCGCTACGTCGGATCTAGATGCTCTTGCTAAATATAAGAGTGCTCTCACTGATTCTGTGTATTTTTTGGTTATTGGGAAAATTGTTTTGTTTGTTTTAGTTCTTCATAAAATTCATAGTCACGCGTGTACTTTAGTCACTTTGTTTCTTTTCTGATTCTCTATCGAATCTCTTAATCTTATTATAATTATTAGTTAGTTTAAAGTTTTCATCTTTTTCTATTTCAGTTTCGATTTTTAGATATGTAGATACTTCTCCAGGATTCAGAGTGTCAAAATATTCTTTGAGAATTCGTTCAACATCTTGAATTGCTCACGCTTGTCGCTCACAGCTTAATATGTCAACAACGTATACAGTTATATAAGTTCTTGTATTTTCATTGTTTGATGTGAAGGAGTATGGATCAGCCTTTTCTTTAATATATATTTTTATGCACAGGATTTCAATTTTGTGATTCTAGTTTATGGCTTCTTGTTTTAGTCCATAAATACTTTTGTTTAATTTACAGACTCTGTTTGCTTCACTCGAACAAACATAACTTTCTGGTTTCTTCATATATACTAGTTCTTCTTTCATGTCTCCATACAAAAAAGCTGTTTTTATGTCGAAATGGATTTTTAGTACTTTTTTGTGTTTAGCGCAGTTCAAAAACGCCAGTTGCTTTTACAAGGAAATGAGGCTTTATAAGCAACCCCCCAGTTGGTGAATTAATAAATTAACAGTTGGTGAAACGTGTTTTTAACCTAATAGATGGATATGCCTGTCTTTGGAAAAAGCTGCTGGGTCTTCCACATTTAGGTAAATGACGAAAATTAGAAATGTCTTAATAATAATAAAAAGCATAATTACAGTAATATTATTTCAAATTATGTTAAAGCTCGTGTTGTAATAATGGACATTTGTTATAAAGTTTTGAAATTTGTCGTGACTATTTAAAATAAGTAAAGGTATTCAAAATTTTTATATCTGTGATAGTATGCGAAAAGGTTTGAATGCGTTCTTTGAACAAATATCATTATTAAGAGTCGAAACCTAATTGTGACAAATTACTATCAAATTTAATTTTCTCTCAATTTGGCTTCTTTTTATGTAAAGTTTATTTATCTAGTTTTTCTTAAAATTTTTATTGAAGGCTAACGTATAATTTCTTTTTATTTATTAAAATTGGAGAACCTAACTTGAATATACAGATTATTCGTCTTGATTTGAATTTGATTTTTTCTATATTTTTTTCAGTTACGTAATTTGAAGAAGATTTTAATGGCCATAAATCATAAATATAAACTTTGATATACTTTTACAATGCTAAAAGCTAGTTACCTTCTACAAAAAACGAAGGTTTTTATTTGCTGTTGTATTTAAGAATATCTCAGTCATCAGCAAGTAGCTATGCTGATTCGCTTTGTGAAGATCTGCCCATTTTTTTTATCAAAGCCATTCTGTTATTGTATTACATTTTGTTTGTTTTCTTTTCATTATTCTCTAAAGTCCATTTTACATTGCTTTACTATAAGAAAATGTGGTTGTTTCATGGTAAGTAAAAACAGAATTTCGTGAATATTAACAGAACTATTTTGTTTCAGATTGACAGCAACGCTTTTATAAAAGAATTTCAAGACAAAAACTGTAAAATTTACATTATGATATTCAAGCAAGAATTTCAAGAATTCTGAACTTTTCTAATTATTTCTTGTAAACTTTTAAAACTGGACTGAAAATGTCAAAAGTATTCTGAAATTTGCATCCATTGGTCAAAAATGTTATATTTAAAATTTAGATAATTTTTTTCATTACTTTATTTTCGTTGTTTCGCTAAACGCTCTAATGCTTTCTTTTTAAAAGTCTTTTCTACTGCAATTTTCTCTTTGAAGGGGAAGATCTGAATAGTAAAAAATAGTATGCTCAAAATGATTAACATTTGTTTATCCTTTTAATTCCTGATTTTAATTTGACTATGTCCCATTTCTGAAGTATAAAGTGCGTCACTTGAAAATTAATCCGTTTCGTGTTTATATGATCATGTTACAATAGAGCAGATCTTGTTCAATCGGATTAAAGATATCTTTTTACTATAAATACCATTGTTATTATTGCGCATTGATTTTCGTTTTTTAATAGTGTAATGTTGTAGAAAGTGTGATTGCGTAGATATTGAAATGCTGTTGCATAATGAAGAGCAAACGTGACAGCCCAGGCAGATTAAATATTCATATTTATTTCAATAAATATTTTGGGGCCATAAACAAATTGGCACACTTCTTGCCTCTTCAAGAAAACTTACACATTTTATTATTGCAATAGGAAGAAAGCAGTGAGACAGAATCTTAGCAAGAACAGAAATAGAAGCAAAGTGCGCAGTTATTCAATATGGTTGCTTATTACGAGAAAAGTTGGTTTCGGTTCTGGAAATTTTAAGTACCGAATGAGCTACTCATCATTGTCATGTTATAAGTCATATGATATGGATTAGTTTCGAAATGATGCGGTATAGAAAACGTTATTACTATTTTTAGAATGGAGACGGGAAATACCCAACTTTAAAGAATAAAGGAGTTATTTCTAATTGAAGTTATAAATTTGTTTTCCGTATTTTGTTTTCTACTCCACAACGCTGCTGCCTTATATGCATTCCTTTGCCACTCTGCTATTTTTTCCGTTGTCGAAGACTGTAAGTTTCCAAGAACGTTTTAACGATGCACATCGCATCTGTGATGGTACGCGAGTTACATTATGAAACAAAATTATGTGTCCAAAGGTCAAGTCTGTTTTCAAAGTGTCATCCGTTTACTTAGGCAGCTGTTTAACTTGAATCCTCGAATCATCGTCTGCACCGAAATATCATATA